AACAGTAGAGATTCAATCATGTCTACTTCAATAGTTTGCAAAAACAGAATCTGACCAGCGCCAGAGTATAAAATAAGTGATTAGAGTGAATTCAAACATGCTCCTAATTTAATCTCGAATTAACAGGTCATTTCTATCTATAATCCTTTTAAAAAGCACCTTGAAAATATAGAACAAAAAAGACTTGGTAGAAACACAGATGCATAGATAATTCATCAAATGAAAGAACTAGTCTACCAGGGGTTATTATTTTTCTGATCAGACTCTGCTGAGCTCTTCTTTTGTATTGCAATTCATCAAACAGGTAGGCTATCTGGAAGTCTGGTGGGGAGGACTTTTTAAAAATTCACTTTCCTGCTATTTTACCTTGATTATTAAGCTGATATGAAGGAATATTTCACATTCAAATAGAACAATATGCAGAGGCAGGCACTTGGTAATTTTTAGTTATTTATTTGCTTGATGCCTTTTCCAGCAATTTCAACTGTAATGACTATAATATTTATTTGAAATGGAAATTGGTTAGCAACTGGATCTTTTTTTGATTCTTACAATATATCATCTACCTCTTTGAATGCAATATTCTAGCTTAGTCTCTAGTTAAGTGCTAGACATGATGGGGTATCACTTAACATTCATTCCAGTCCCCTTAAACTATGCATTCCTTGAGCTCTGAAGCTGGAAAGCTATAAACTACATTTCTCAGACTCCCTTGCAGCTAGGATTCTGGGCACAGATTAGATTCTACCAGTGAAGTGACGTGGATGAGAAGTGAGGTGGTGGGTATCTAAGGAAGATGTTTGCTAGCTTGTTTTTGTTATTGGTAGCAGTGTTCAGTCATTAGCTTCCTTGGAGGAAGAGGCACTTTGCAGCAGCTCCTCTGATCACTGGAACACAGCTCAAACAGTGTGCTCTTGATGTCAGCAGCTCCGGTGATAGCTCTGATTCCCATCTTCCATACTGTGGTAAATGATGGCGGCAACCCTGGAGGCTGGATCAACATCCTGTCTGTGCATCATCCCTTGAGCTCAGCCTAGGTCCTCTCCTCTTCTTTAGGTTGCAACCTTCCCTTCCAACCTTCTTGTGAGCACCTAATTTCCCTATTAAGCCCCTTCCTGCTTAAAGTAGCTGGATAGTTTCTGTTATCAACAACCTAACTGACACAAGAAAGCGAAGGGAGAGATGAGAGTATTCAATGCACAAAACAGCAGGTAATTCCTGGGGAGAACCTCAAAAGGCCCTATTATCCAGAACTGCCCCAAACCGGGCCAACACTCTTTAGGGCCTGGGGTTGAGGCCAAAGCATAATTATAAAGGTTGAAAAGTAATCATGGGGACCCCTGGAGAGAAAGAGAAAAAAAATACATCAAAGAAAAAAAATGACAAAGAGGGGAGAAAGAAAGGAAAAAGAAGGGAAGTGAGAAGGGAACAGGGAATAACGAAGTGAATAAAACCACACATATGGTGAACAAGATCATACACCAAACTCCTCACATGACCTTGCCTGGATGTTCCCAGAGAGCAATCCACCAAGGTGATCTCTGCCCTGCAGGGCCTATGTCATAGCTTCACAGAGCTGGGCTCAGGGGTTCTCAACTACAGACTTGGGAAGTGAATCAGTCCCTATGGCTCTGGAATAGACACACTGAGTCAAACTGGATAAATATACTTACTTTGTGTATTTCCAGCTATGCTATAGATAGTATATATATATATATATATATATATATATATATATACATATATATATATATACATACATATATATATGTATGTATATGTATATGTATATATGTGTATATATGTATATGTGTACATAAATATATATATATAATATGTATTTAAATAAAAATGTCAGGTTAAAAAAAAGGAAATTAATCCAAATGGTTTTAAATTCAGGCAATTAGTAATGCAAAGAGCTGACAAACTAGTCAATTATGGTAAATACTGGTTTAAGTTCTGATCAGCTAAAAAACATGATTATAAATATCCTTTTTATAATTCAATAGAGTAGTCTGACAAAAAGCCCAAGGTAAGATGTTCACACAAAGGAATTAAGAGTTCAACTGACACTACAATCCTTAACATAAAATAAAAGAACATGTGTGTCACAGCCCAGGCCTACTGCTCCAGCCCCATGCACACACTGCTCCCTTCTTCAAAATACTGTTCTCTCCACAGGCCTCCCCATCAGCACACACGCTCAGCATATGCAGAGTCTACAGGTGCTGTTCACTTGGCATTAAATGCTTTTCCTTCCCCAAGGATCTAACATCACAACCTCAAGCATTCCTCACCTCCCTCCCCATCGGTCAAATTCCCCGTTTCTCCCTGTGACATTTTCCTGCATAATACATAGTACAGTTATAATTATAGGCTCACCTATGTATTACTAGCAGACCTGTGTTTCATGCGGAGTCAGGTCTGTTTGTCTTGCTATTGCATCCCGAAGGCTTAGTATGGTGCCTTGGGTGCCTTGGCAATGCTGAATGATTGAAAAACGCAATGAATATTATTGCTGCTTCATCTCCAAAGACCAAATACTCAATTTCTAAATAACAATGGATGCTCTCTACCTTTTCTAACTGTCTATGGGAAAATGAGGCATTATTAGCATTTTATGAGGGCCAGACTTCTCACGGCATTAACAGAAACTAGTTAATTAAATGTTTAAATTCGAATTTAGAATTTCGATTGGTCATCTCCTCCCTCCCCCTACTATCTCATCATTAATTCCAAAGACACCACAGGTAGCTTCTTTAACCAAAAGCCTTTCTAAGGTGGAGGGGATGCAAGTTTAACAGTGTGAGCCTCTAATTCCCAAAGGACACTGACAACTAAGAGTCCAGTGTGTATACTATGCTGTACACTATAGGAGCATAATAAATATACCAGGACAGGGGAATGACCCATTTAGCGTCAATTATGCAGCAACCTCTGAAGTCCCCTTGAGATAATAATACTTAAGTCGAGAAGTTTCTCCTTCTTACAAGACTGCTTATAATGTGCCGACAGCGTAGTCAGCATTTTATACCAATTTTTCCATTTGCTCCTCACAACCACCTTAGGAAGTATCATTCTCCCCATTTCATGGACTAGAAAATGGCTCAGAGTTGGGATTCACTCCAGGCGATGGAGTACAAACTCTAAATTCCTTCTCTCACATGATCAGACACTTCTCTGGGTGGGAAGTAAGCACCCAAAGTGAATGATGTCAAGTCATTTCGAAGACCTGTTAGCCAGAGGTCTAGGCTATGTTTTCTCTTATGACACCAAGAGAAGAGAATCACAAAAGCTGAAAGACAGTCAACTGGTCATTTAGCACCTCTATACTTTCAGCTCTACCAGGGACAAAACTATGCTAGAATCAGGCTCGACATTTCGTTCCTTCAGTCTGTCCTTAAATAATTCCCCAGTATCTTCATACTTTCATGCCACTCTTCTCAGAACACTTCCTAATTTACGAGTAAAAACACAAGCCTGCGCAAACAAACAAGTGTGGACAGCCTCATCTCAACAATGCATTATACCAAGGGCTAAATTACAATGAGTGCTTCACTCAATTCCTATTTAAAACGCAGTTTGGAATAGCAAATGCAGTAAACACAGGATTTAGTTGCATTTTTTCTCAACATTAAGATCCTGTATATTGCCAAGCTTGCCCTGCACTTTGTCTCTTCTTCAAAGCAGTGATAGAGTCCTCATCATAATGTGTTTCAGATTTTGGAAACTAGCTCTCTAAAAGGTGCAGATGAATTCTTTACAAGTGAAATACATAAGTATTCACATATCCACCTATCAGAAATACTCTAAATATTAATACCTTTACAGTCCTGTTAATCCCCAGTAAGGTTTGGCTTTAGGTGATATACATAATCAGACATTTAAGATTGATTGGGACAGCTTTCCTGCCCCTCCATTTTAAAGCAGAGTTAACCATGCAGACAGCATTTTCAATTTCACATCCCTCCGACAAGTGAAATTTTATTAAAACCTTTGAACTGCCTTGGTGCTTTAGCTATGCTAAGACACACACACAAGAGGACAAATTATTTCCAAAGAACATCATTACAGTAATTGAATCTTTCTAGAAATAGAATTTCTTTTGAATTAAGAGAAGAGTCTATAGAGAGTACTCTTCTCAAATCTGACCAAATGCATTCATAAAGCAGCAGCTCTCTGGAGCAGTTTCGTTAGTGAAGAGATACTTTCCAACTTGCCAACGTCTCCTTTAGAGGAAGTTATGCGTAATCCATGGCCATGTGGGTGTTGCTTTCATTCTTCTCAAGTAATTCTCCCCCGTGAGCTACTCTAAAGCCTCCCTCACCAAGGCAGAGTCCTTTACACTGCATTGTAAACCAGGTGTCAAGGGCAGAAAAACCTACAATTCTCCCTTCTTTAACTTCAAAAGAAATTAACCATTTATTAGCCAGCAACGTTCAAGGATTCAATAGGCTCATTAGCCACCTGGATAATAGTACTTTTAAGCCGCTGAAACGAGGGGTTAAATGTCAATCGTTACCTGTAATATTGCCAATAACCTTAACTTCAAAACGAAACAGATGTATTCTGGCCCTTTGCCCACACAAAATGTCCCATGAACATTTAAATGCATGCATACCGACTGATATATACATCTTGGTGCGTTGATGTTCACAACCTTACCCCCTTCCTACATACAGCATGGTATGCGTATAACATTTATCACAAAGAACCCAGATAATATTAAAAACAAAAAACCAACCCCATACAGATAGCAAACATTATACAAATCCTATCATCCCATTTTCATATTCCTTCTTAAACTGTATTTTTGTCATACGCTTTGACTATTTCAGTAAGTTCTTTCATATCAACTAAACAAATATTCTGACAAACTTCTGGCTTCAAGTTATCTTAGTTCACGCCTCCTGCTAGTTAAAAATCCATTCCCAAACGATAGCTTCTAAAGGCAAAGATATTTGTATATGTACTCCATGAAAACACAAATTCATTTTCACCTTTAAGACGCTAAACACGTCCTCAGCAGCTCGCAGTTCTGATTTATCCGGTATACACTGAAGCACATTCTGCAGTCCCCTTACTGCATGGCCGGCTCGCCTGTTTTGATCACATCTAAGTTTTCAAGGTAAACAGGTTACCCTCGGTGACTGGAACGACAGAGGAAACACAGAAACTCACCCAGGCGGTCAGACCCCAGTTGCAGGCACGCGCGCTCGCAAAGCGACCTGTCGCGCCCTCTCCTCCCTGTCCTCGGAGGGAGGGCAGGCGCAGAGCCCGCAGAACTAGGCTGTGTAAGAGGCTTCCCGCCACTCCCCTCTGCAGACCATTGTTAGAGCCACGGTCATTGCGCTTTCTGCACGGTATGGGGGCGGGAAGCTCCACCAAACTGAATAGTTGCAATGCTCTCCCGGATCCGGGGAGAAAAAAAAAACTGCTTTTGCATCAGAGTCGAGGGCTGTACCAGGTGTAACTTCCACCCCTTGACCTATTTTAGAGTGTGAGCATGAAAGCAATAGGAAAAAAATAGACGGAGAGCGCGCGCTGGGGGGTGGGTGGGGGGCGGGGAGCCGGGAGCCGGGGACGCGCGTGCCCGAGTGGGAGCGAGCGTGTCCGGGTTTCCAAAGAGAAGTTACAGCCAGGCCCCCGGAAGCCCCCGGAGGCCTCTCTGGCCACCGCTCTGCAAGCTCCTCCTCCCGCCGGGGCCCGATCCGGCTTCGCCCGCCCTTCTCAGGGCACACCCCGCGCTAGAAGCGTTGCTCTTGGGGCTCAGGGGCCTTCGGGTGGCCGCCGCGAGAGCAGCCAGGCGACCGCCCACAGCCCAGGGAACGCGGTTCTCTGCCCCCCATTTCCATCCCCGCCTCCCCGACCCGCCCTCACCTCTCCGGAGGCGGCACAAGGGCTCGGGCAGTCCGGGAATCTAGGCCCGCAGCGCCTTCGGGCCAGGAGGGCGGACCGCCTCGGAGGGGTTGCGGGCTTGGAGCGGTGGGCATGGAGCGGAATCCCGGGGAGTGTCGCCTCCCTGCTTAGTCAGCTAGAACGCCCCGCCCAAACATGCCCGGGAAGTGAGGCTCTGCCGCGGGATGGGGTGACCTTCCTGCCTCCTCCTGGCGCGCATCTGTCTGTACCTCCCGGCGTGGCCGGTCCTACGTCAAGGCGAGTACACCTGGCCCGCCCGGAGTGCAGCAACGTAGTACCTGGGGTAACAACAACGTGACGCTTTAGCGCGTCTTTCCCCATTTGATCCTTGCAACCACCTACTTCAATGTCCCCATTAGGTATACGGGATAACCGAACATCAAAGCGGTTAACTCCAAGGTGCCACTACTTACCTTAGACTCTCCAGATCTTTCCACTAAAAAAGGATGCTTAAATCTGTTAAGAGTTTTGCAAAACTAGCCCCATCAAGGTATCCTCTATAACGAGGGATGGAACTTAGGTTAGAAGGTTCTACCTAAAATTGGAAACGGAATCTCTACCCCCTCCCCTCCTCACCCCACACACACTACTTCTGTAACAGTAGGGTTAACTAATTTCTACCAGGTCCTTAGCATGATAATCTTCAACCTCTATTATTAAACAGCTCAATAATCATCAGGGACCTGTGTACTTTAAAAGATGTTTGTCCCCAATATTGAAAAATTAGCATATTTTGTAACTGCTCTACTGCCCTATGTGTGAGAGGTTGATGCTCCTGACTCCATGGCGGGGTAGGAAGACTTCATGTTGAGTTGTTTGTTGTGGGGACCCAACTACAACTGTATATATAGACATAGACACTGGTATATGTGAGGTGTACAAAGAGCGGGTGGAGATAGCGTATATAGTTTGTGATTGGGAAATAATTTTCTAGTGCCACAGTATATTGGTATAGGGGAAGAACCTTTGTTTGGGTATCTTTACCTATAACCAGGATAATTAAATTGACATTTCTTTTTTCTATAAACGTCACCTTTTTGCATTTAAAAAGAAAAACAAATAATCATGAACCTGGTTTTATACGTTCTTCTGGAGCTGAATGCCAGCCCAAAGAAGCAGCACTGCTCATTTTTGTTTCCATTCAACGGAGCTACAACTACCCTTATGTCCTTGGATGCAGGATACACGCTGGATACTGTGATGGTCCTTGCCCTCTTCTAACAGTGCAAAAGCACACCTAACTAAGTGTAGCATAGTACCTGGTACGTAGTAGGTGCCTAATAAATACTTGTCAAGTCAATGGGAACTCAACAGAATGTAATAAATATGAAAGTAGCTTGGTTTAAATTCTGCAGGAAAACATGAGGGAAATCAGTTATAGAGCAAATGACCAAGGAAGGCATCCTGGAGGTGGTGACAGGTGCCGGATTTTGATATGGAGAACTGGCTAATGATTGGAAGTGGGAAAGTATGTTTTCTATGCTTTCCGGTTATGCAGAAGCAAAGGCTCTTAACGTTTCATAGGTAATAGGCCCATGTGAGAATCTGATAGGAGCTTTGTTAACTCTCCTATATAAAAACCAAATTTAAAGATATGTGCATACATTTTCTGGGATTTCTTGGACTTGCTAAAGCAGATCTGTGGTATCCACAGAGGTCTATGAGCTTGAATTAACATTTCTTTGTTCAGAGGCAGGGAAAAAATAAAGAGATTATTCTCTTTGAGGCAATAATAAGAATGCCATGGCCCCTAACAATTTGGGTAAGGGCTGAGCAAATAGAAAGAAAAGTGTGTTATAAAGAAAATTTGTACACTTGGAAGCATAGCATTTTTTCTTCAAAGCTGGGCCTTTAACATTTATGTTCTTTTTGTACATGAGAATTTCACTTTCTCAGCAAAAGGGGGGAAGACAGATAAAGTATGCCTGTCAAGCATTGTCAGTTGCTGATGCAAAGTGGGTGTATGGGGGGGGGGTATTGTATTATTATCTCCTTATTTGTGATCTTTGACAATTTTCATGAAAAAAAATTTTTAATAATTTTTACTTTCAGGTAAACATAACCAATCTTATGACCTCTCTTAACTTACCTTGTTAGAATGGAAATTTTGTATTGAAAAAAGGAAACACTATAAGTATGGCTCACATAAGATTATTATTAATATGTAGAGTCTATATAGAAACAGTAGATTTTCTCTTGTAGTTAATTATGAAGTGTGTTAGCGATGGTCTCAATAGAAATTAGACCACTGAACATTGAACAAGTGTTTTGTTTATTTCTAAACTTGCACTTGACTTCATTTTATATTGCTTAGTTAAGTGCCTTTATTATTATATTTCTATATTATATAATATACTATGTATTATGTATTATTATGCAATGATGTATAATATATAATGTAGAAATAGATCATTTTACATTACATTATTATATAAGATTATTATGTCACTTAATCGACTCAGTGCCTTTATTGGTTAACTCTGGATCTTGCATATACCTCTTGAGCAGATGGCAGGCCATGGTTCTCTGGGTACTTGTCCTGCTCCCTTCTGAGAAACACAGCAACAGTAGTCCCTTACACACAGGGGCCATACTTCCCATCATGTGCATAACTCAACCAAAGATTTGTTCCCATCCAAAAGAGCTGTCTGGTTTGTCCTGTGGCCTACAAGTCAGCAGCTGGAAGAATGCTGCCAGATACACATGTACTGTATTGGATAGAGATGATGAGACCCAGTCAGACCTTTTCCCAAGTGTCTTACGGGCAAGGCCTGGGTTTGAACCCAGGCAGTGAGTGCTCCAGAGCCTGAGTTCTTTCTTTTTTTTTTTCCTTTTTTTTGAGCCTGAGATCTTACCCACTCTGTTAACTGCCTCAGCAGAAGTAAAGACAGAGTTAAACTGAGCCACATGCATGACTGAGTCATACGGTAGGAGTGATGGATACCCTGACGACTGAGCTCATTTTACCATATTACCTGTGTTTCCTTGTTGATCTTCCAGCATCTTCTGAGTTGCTTATGGCCATGGAGACTATTCCTTGTTCTTCCTTACTTCCTTGTGTAGTATAATAAAGTAAATTCAACGTAGATAACCTGTTTCTCCTCCTTATAACCTGAATGAACACAACCATATGATAACATACTGATTACCTATAACACCACCATGGCAGGAGTAGAGCTGTGACTATCCTTTCCATAGCTCTATCCTTGTAGTGGTCTTCTTTCCTTTTAATAAAACAGAAGAGATACCTTCTTTTTAGAGATGTTACCTGAAAACAAATTTTTAAAAATCAACTCACATTTTCCAATTGACTTTTTTATAAAAAAAATCTTTTTCCACAAAAATAGCATTTTTTTCCTCACACATTATGAAAATTATATCTAGAATTTAGCAGCTATTATTTTTAACCATTTATTTAATGGAAATATGGAAGAAAAATATAATCAGTTAAATACTAAAAAATTATTACATGTCCGTTCTGCTTGAGGTCTATTACTAGCTGTCCTTTGCTTATTAAATGCCACAAATCCCATAGAATACGAGTGAGCGCCCCTGACAGTCTGGCCCCAACCTACCTTATCTCTATGGGCCCAAGGAAAATCATAACATTTCTCCAGTTTGTGCAGCCCTAAACTCCACACCTCTAATTTCTTAAATCATGGCATTTAAGTAGAAATTCATGGATGTTATTTTTCTAGAGCTTTGACCATTTATTTATTTTATCCTTATTGCCTATCATAGTTCTTGGCACTTAGTGCTCAATGCTTACATTTGAATTTGTGTATTTGCATGTATTACTATAAGCCTCAAAATGTGCTGCATGATGCTTATAGAATGATTTCCTTTGTTTCAACTTTGACCATCTACTATATAAAGCCCTTGTCTAAGTACTGACTATTTAACTACTTTGGGTGCTTATCTATTCTTACTATAATGGAGGCTTTAAAAAATATTGCTGTGCTTTTATCCACATTTCTCCTTTCAAAGTCATTCTATATTTTTGAGTGATTTTTAACTAGTTTAGCATGATAATATCTTGGTGCATTTATTGATTCATTCATTTATTTATTCAACAAGTATTCATTGAACATATATTATGTGCCAGGCACTGAGCTAGGAAAACAGTAGTGAACAAAACACATGTACCCTTATGGAACTTATGGTCTAGTGGGATGACAGACATTAATCAAATAATCACAAGTATCACAAATAAAATGTGCAATTTAAAAATGAACCAAGTATCTGCAAAGAAAGTTACAGAATGTCATGAGAGTTCACGTGTCTCTCCTACAGGGGACACAGGTGTAGGATTCATCTCTGTGCCCTCAGACCTAGCTAAGAGCTGTGCATATGGAAGTGTTAAATAAGTTTTTGTTCAAGGAATGTAGACATCTACTTCTGACCTATGACTGCATGACACTTTCTGCATAGTACAGCATTGAATAAAATACACAGCAGGTATTCCCTCAAATGCTGATCTCAACACTCTGCCAGTTACGCTGTTTGCTTTTGTTTCCATTACCACAAACACACGGGTCATCTATCTCCAAATGCATTCTGTTTTCTTTGCCAGCACGACAGCATGTAAATTCTTGTTCTCTTAGTAGCATTATAAAGAACATTCTTTATGGCAGAAGTTCTAATACACACTAACAGTTTGCTGTTCTCACCGGCTCAAGTCCATTAT